CAGCCTGTGCCCAGGAAGGCAGTTTATGCCCGCATACACGTGTATATGTACATACAAAATCATATATACATATTTATATATGCCCAGTGACCCAACCCTGCACCTGGCTGCTGGCAGCACTGCAGGTGAAAGGTGAGGCTGATGTGGGGGGTCAGAAGGCAGCAGGGAGAAGCAACCTTGCTGTGGCAGAAGTTCACTCCTCCACACAATGCCTGCTCGGAAACAGCTCGAGCAAAGCACAGTGCTGATGTCCCAGACACAGAATATATTTTACAAAAAGCAGAGTAGCAGGCAAGTTCCTCCTGTGTCCTGCTAATCCCTACTGAGGGCTGTTTCATAACCTGCTAGCAGTGCAGGAGGACAGAAGGGTATAGGGGACATTACTGAGTAGGGCTGTGAGGTTCATCAAGGACAAAGAGGATCCCAGGAGGGCCCCAATGCAATATATACATAAATAGAGCTGCTGGACTGAGCTTCCCCCAAGCTGCTCCTGGGATTTGCTTCAGATCAAGCCGCTTTGGACACTCAGACCCCATCCCCAGGGACACTTACATATCTGCAGCAGGATTATCAGCCTGCCCTTGTCCAGGATCACTTCTCAAAATTATCGTAAATACCATCACAGACACAGATTTAGCTATACCTTCTCACATGGCTTAGAAATAGTCATTTAGACAGTAGCATCTGGTTTTCCCACATATCCACATATCTTTGATTCTCCACTAGTTTTGTGGAACACTATTTCTCTTTATAAATGCTGTTTTGCTCAATATGTTTACTTATCGCTGTGTCCTCAAATTCTAATCATTATTAGCTTCTACTTTTTCCTAGTATTGGCACTAGGTCTGCTGGGCCACCATTCCCTGAAACACTTTTAAAAAATCAGAATTCTACTAGACAACTTCCAGATCTCCAAAAGCAAGGCAGCTTTAGTAAGAGCTCCCACACTACAGCCAATAGCCCAGATGTTACATCTCCATAACTTTAGGGAAATCTTGGGTAAGTACCCTCTGCTCTTGGCCACTTGTATTTGACTATTTCTGTTGTCTATTTGGCAACTGGCAGGATGTACAATCCTCATCATTTAATTAGCTGAAAAATTCTGGTATGGAAGTCAAGCCATTTTTATCTCAACACAGATTTTTTTTTCTGCTGCTACTATATAAAAACCCCAAACACACAGTATTATTTGCTCTTGTGTAAGGATACAGTACAGATATGAGATCAGCTGTAAGTGGAAGCAAACAATATTATTCCAGTATTATTTCAGTATTATTTCAATTGCTTCTGCCTTTACTTCTATTTTTGCTACCGGTATGGCTCAGATTAAAAAAAAAAAAATTAAAAAAAAAAAAAAAAAAAAAATAAAAAAAAAAAAAAAAAAAAAAAAAAAAAAAAAAATTCTGTTGGCTTCAGAATGGCAATGTACAAATAATAGCCTGGTAATTTCTGGTAATTTTTTTTTTTTTTTCATTTTTGTTGCCTCTAAAAGGGCATAAGGAAGAAGATCTGTCATTTAAGGTGAAATAGCCCCTCAATCCACAGGGTTCTTGTCAGTAAGTTGCACAGAATATGGATTGCTGCTAACTTTGCAGCTGCTGAAACAACCTGAAGATGTGATCATGCCACTGGTTTGTGCTGTCCCAAGACTGAGGCTGGCTTCAGGCTTGCCAGCACCCCACACAATGGTATCAAAAAAATTGCCTCAATAAGCCTTTCTTCTTATCTAGCAGCATGTCTAGACAATCAGGGAGGATAGGAGGGCACCCACTAATATTGCATCATTAAAGAAGGAATTGTGCACAATTAGAAAAGCCCCATCCTGCTGACTAAGGCAAACCCTTGCAGTGCAGAGCCGTGTTGCCTTATTTGGCTTTATCAGAGCTGTCTTTGGGTTCCTCTATCCTCCATCCTGGCACAGATCAATGTGAAAAGGACGGGTCAGTGCAGCTGACTCCATACAACCTTAAACCAACCCTGTCCCTGAGTAATTAGCAGAGAGATCAGAGCTACAACACGTTTACAACTAAAGAGTAAATTATTATTGACCAAAAATAGAGCTCTGGAGTGCTGTGTGGGCAGGAGGTAAGGTATAAAGAGCTGCAGCTGAAGGCAACTTTGTGATTTGTTACCTCAGCATCTCACGGTAAGTGCCATCCACTTGCTTCATGCTCTGACCATGGCATCTCCACAGATCCTCAAAAAGGTGGAATATGAAGGGGTGTTTTCTTCTCATTCTGCTCATCTAACACTCCAGGTCATGCTTTACATGCAGAGTCAAGGTTTTACCACCCAAACCACTCCAAAGCAGGAGAGTCACAGCATGCCAGTCCTTGGAAGGGCCTTCTACCAACTTTACTACCTCCAAGTCCTGTGGAAGGCACAGGAAGACTAACTCAGAAGGCACTTGAATTGACTGGGATTAAATATGTCAAGCAGCTAATTTTTTCCTGGGCATTAGATTTGTTTCAAGCATTTTACAGAAATGTGGGAAGGAACACACAAGACTCTCTGTGGAGTTTTGCTCTAGGGCAGGAATTTTGAGGCACTGTGTGCAGTTCAGCTATCTGGAGAGGTTACACAGGGCATAGGAATGTTTGATGTGGCATGTGCTCAGGACAATGGACTGGTTTTGATATAACTCTGTCCTTTCTTTAACCATTCCACACAGGTTCTGAACACAGATTTCCTCGTGGGATCTCTGAAGGTAGGGGTTTAACAAATAACACATACCTTTGCTAATTGATCCTGAGCAATAAGTAAAATTCACCCAGACAATAGAAAGGGCAGGTGCAAAAGACAGTAGAAACCAGGATCACTGGAAAGGATATATAGTATTTTAATCAACATGAGCAATAGTCACAGTTCTTGGCAGTAGTACCCATGTATTGGGAAAGAAAAGTTACAGATGCTCAAACTTCGTCAAGAGGGCATGATTGACAGAGAGAGCAATGGCTTTTTGTGGTGTAACTTTGATTTCTGGGATTTGTAGATTATTAAAATTCATCTCCTGCCATCTGCACAGCTGCTGGAAGCCTGAGGTTGTGTTCGGAGAGGAGGCTCAAAGTAATATTCAAGCGTTAGTTTATTCTGGGGTAAAGTCTAGAAAATTATTTACTGACTTTGGTTTATCACACAGGCACTGTTCAGAATGAACAGAATGAAGAGAATGAACTTTGTCTGAACCCAGACAAAGCTCGGAATGTTCTTGTCTCCTGCTGGATAGGCAGATCTCTCCATGTCCAAAGAGTAACCTTTACAGAGAACTTGTGTGCACCACTCCCTTCTGGGTTTTCTGGGGAAGGCTAGTGACTGGGAGTGTGCAGCAGAGCACAGGAGGAACCTTCCACACATCTGCCTTCTAGCCTAAACCCAAAAACTTCTCATTGAAACTTGCACTGAAAGGCATGGAAGCACTGGTCATTGTCTTTTAATGATTCATAACTAATATAATATGTTCAAGCTATAATATGATTCAAGTTAGAATTGAGATTCTTTGAAATGTTATGTCACATACTGACTTACCTAAATACTATGTTATTTAGCTAATACTATGTTCATTATTCTTATTTGTAATATACAAGATATTCTTTTATTGGCCAATTTTGCAATATAACTGGAAAAATGTTTTATATTTGGTTCACACAGTAATCAGGTTTGGCTTAAGATAGGTGATGACTGACATTCACAATTTGTTCCACTGCTTGGTATAGACAGAAACTAGTTGAACTTCCCCTGCTTGGTATTCAAACATCAAAATCATCAGAGGGGGTTAAACATGTCAGAGCCACTCTACATGACTCACAGAGCTTACTTTTTGACTAAATTTTTAGATGCCCAATGCCATAATGTCAGTGGCTTTGTGAATGTGGTTTGATAATGATGTGGCTGTGCAGCCACACCTGTGAATAGCAGCTGAAGATAGAGTAGGACCAACTTTTGAAGGCTTCAGCTTGATATTTTCTCTGCCCTCACTTGGTTACATAGGCCTATTTAATTGTGATGACTTCAAAGACAATCTGTCTACAAAAGGAATTTTCTTTATTAGCACTTCTTCAGTGGATAAATAAAATTGAGGCAGAGGTTAAGTGCCTGATTAGTCCTCCTCTTCCTATTAGTCATGGAGCATGACCATTGTCTGGATAACTGTAAATTACAAATGCACAGACTTTCTGCAATGTTTCCATATTCCTCCAGAGTAACTGCAGACATGAGCTCAGACGCAGAGATGGCAATCTTTGGAGAAGCTGCTCCCTATTTACGGAAGCCAGAGAAGGAGAGAATTGAAGCCCAGAATCGCCCATTTGATGCTAAGTCAGCCTGTTTTGTAGTAGATGACAAGCAAATGTATGTGAAAGGTACCATACAGAGCAAAGAAGGTGACAAAGTCACCGTTAAAAAATATGATGACACAGTAAGTAATGCCATGGTTACTCCCATGGGATCATCCAGGTCAGGCAGTTCCTTGTTTTAGATTTCTCCTGTTGCTCTCTTCTCTTTTTTTGCTAGACTGTGACTGTAAAGGATGATGAAGTCTTTCCCATGAACCCTCCCAAATTTGACAAAATCGAGGACATGGCCATGATGACCCACCTCCACGAACCCGCTGTGCTGTACAACCTCAAAGAGCGTTACGCAGCCTGGATGATCTACGTAAGTGGCAGCAGCAGCTTCCTCTGGGCAGCCTCAGGAGCTGCTGGGCCAGGCTCAGGGGAAGCCTGAGTGCTGTGTCCCTTCCTCACAGACCTACTCGGGTCTCTTCTGCGTCACCGTCAACCCCTACAAGTGGCTGCCGGTGTACAACCCCGAGGTGGTCACTGGCTACCGAGGCAAGAAGCGCCAGGAGGCCCCTCCACACATCTTCTCCATCTCTGACAACGCCTATCAGTTCATGCTCACTGGTGAGTTACTTGCCAAGAGTGGAAAACCCTGATATATGTAGGGCTGGCTATTTGGTCAAGGGATTTTAGGTTCTGCTCGGTGGTCCCATAGTCCTACGGCACAATGCAAGATCACACCATGAAAATCTTGATCTGTGGGTTATCAGATAATGAAGGAAAAGCAGTAGCTGGCTGTATGGCTTTGTGCCTCCTCTCTTTGTAAGGAATTTAAAGGAGAATCACAGCAAATAATCAGATTATAATTAAACAGTATTTAAACCAAGATCTATACATAAAAGAAAACAAACAGTAAGTGGGAACCCTTGTAAAGAATGCCTGCTTGAAGTTAAATTTTGCACTACTTCATCCCTGTCTGTACCAAAAAAAAAAAAAAACCCAAAGTCCAGATGCAAACTAATGTGTATTCATGCATCACTTACCTTGTGTGAATATGATAAATATTGATATAATACAGTTCTTTCCCTTGAAGTCACTTGTGTGTGAGGAACTGACGCCCTCCACATCTCATTTGAACAGCTCTTTCTGTGATTTTGTTTTCAGATCGTCACAACCAGTCAATCCTCATCACGTGAGTATATTTTGGTATTAGTGACAAAGCTGACAGAAAAGTGATGATGTTTCCTGTTTCCTGCCATAATTAATATGTTTTTTTAACAGTGGAGAATCCGGTGCAGGGAAGACTGTGAACACAAAGCGTGTCATCCAGTACTTTGCAACAATTGCAGTCACTGGTGAGAAAAAGAAAGATCCACAGCCCGGCAAAATGCAGGTATGAAATCAGCTCCCCCTTTGCCAACACTGAGGAGAAAAGACCAATGTGTATTTCGGGACTGTGGGAACATCTAAAGGCAGAAAGCATTGTGCAGCTGAGAAGACAGTCAGGATGCACAACCCAAGCACACCTATGCTCATTCACCCTTGATGCCCAGCCTCAAATCTGCTGAATTCTCACTTATAAAACCATTTGGTCAATGTAGGACAGCCTACAGGGTAATCTCTACCAGGGAGGGGGAGATAATGTTAGACAGCAGCTTTCTCTGTGCTGGTTGTACCTATTCTTCAGTGTCCTCTGAGATCCACAGCACCTGAGTGCTGCAGGTGAAAAGAGAGCAGTTGTAGGCACAGGGTTTGTGTCACTGGGGCTGTGTGTGGCACAGTTTGTGTCCCTGGGTTGTGTGTGGCACAGTTTGTGTCCCTGGGTTGTGTGTGGCACACAGTTTGTGTCACTGGGGCTGTGTGTGGCACACAGTTTGTGTCCCTGGGCTCTGTGTGGCACAGTTTGTGTCCCTGGCAGTGGGGCTGTGGCCCAGCCCCATCCCCAGATGTTCCAGCTGTGCAAAGCAGGTGAGCAGCACTGGCAGCAATGAGCCAGGGAGTGCCCAGGGGTGCTGAGCAGCCACCCAAGGGAGCAGAGGGCACCCAGGGCAGTGCGTGGACATCAGGGTGTAAAATCTGGGGAAAGAACAGCAGGGGCAGATGCCTGCAGCCTTCTGAAGTGATATTACTCTGAATGGGCAAATGTTTAAAGCCTTCTGGAATTGTGTGGTGACACTCTGTGTATCATGGCTGTATTGACTGTGACATGTGCTGTGACAAGCAGTCAGTTCCCTGGTACATGGTTGTGCCCTTCCTGGTCCTTGGCTCATTCCTGTTGACGGGGGAAGTGCAGAAACTGCACTCCAGAGTGGCTGTGCTGAAGTTAAGCATCATCTCAATTCCTTCAGGCAGGGGTTTCCACTGGCTGGTTTTTCTGTCTGTGCTCAACAGAATGGCCCAGAGGGACAGCATGAGAAGGGGGCTGGATTTGGGAGAGCTGGGAGCACTTTCCTGTGAGTCAGAAAGTAACCTCAGAAAGGATCCTCGCAGAAGAGAAAGTGCCTGCCTCGATGTCCCTTTGCTGAGCAGCACAGCTGCTGCAATCTGAGCCCTCTGGTGCATTTGCAAGCCACAGACCTCATTCCCCAGCACAGTGCAAGAAACAAACACCCTTGTTGCACAAGTGTGTGCCACCACAGCCTGTGAGATGCTCAGCAAAGCGTGTGACATGTGTCAGCATGTTATTTGAGTACCCAAGGGGATAGTGGAGCTTAAGGAGATTCCAAGGCTGAATATCCTTTCACTCAGAGGCAGGTGTCTGTGACTGATGGGTTGTTATGGGCAAGGCAAGTTCAACACAGGCCTTCTTTCCATCAGCACCATGTTAGAATCTCTTGGTCTCAACTTTCATCAGCTGCTCACTATGCCAGGACTGATCTCAGAAAAGCTTCAAGACAGCTGAGACATGTACAGACCCTGTGTGATAGCAGGAAAATCACCCAGCTCTCAGACTGACAGTAATCTGTTCTGCCCTCTTCTGAGTATTCATAAAATATATTTTTAACATTCCAGTTTCTGTGACAATAGTATATTCCTCTCTATAAGAACATTAAATAAAACAGATTATGGTTCTGTGTAGCACAGCATTGAATGGCAAATACAAGATGAAGTCAGATGCCAGGCAATGGCACAGGAGTAAGGGAAGTGTGTAACAGTATTTCCCAAAATATGGTCTCAGCCTCCAGCGCTTTGTCACCCAGCCTGTAAACAGGAGTCCAAAATGAGCTTGTGTAAAGAATTGTCATGTTCTTCCACACTGTTATCCATGTACAGTGCTCCTGTTTTAGTTCTCTGGTTACAGCTGTGCACCTCTCTCCTCTCTCCTCCCCTCTCTGAAAGGTACATGTGAGAGGGCATTAGTCTATGGATTTAGGATATTTTATTTAAAAGAGGATATAGAGTTTCTTATGCTACTGCGTTGCTTTAATTTTAGAGTTCCATCTTCACGGTGGACTAACAAAAACTAATTTAAACCTGCCATGCCATCTGCAGACAGTGCTGGGAATGGCAGTGCCTCTCCTCTGTCCTCAAGGCTGCACTACTGCATGCACAGAGATGCAGTAACTGAAAGAGCCACTCACCTTTCATCTGACATAAACCAATTTATCTTTTTTTTTTTTCCTTCCTTATTCTTGGTTTTCCATCTGTCTTGGAAATTATCCCTGGCAACACTTTCATGCCCAGATTATGTAGGATCAGTCATGACTTTGCTAGAGTCACACTAGTGACTCTGCTTCCTGGACTATATTGCACTGAAAGGAGAGACATAATGTCACAGCTTTTTTTGTTCTGCAGTAATGCAGCACAGAAAAAAAAAAAAAAAAAATTAAAAAAAAAAAAAAAAAAAAAAAAAAAAAAAAAAAAAAAAAAAAAAAAAGAACAGTCTCTGTTCTGTGCTTATCTAAGTCTGGTATTTGAGTGTCAGGCTTTCTCCATATCTAGTTTTCAAAGAATGCCAAGAGCTGTATTCCTGCATGCTGAAAGGCTGCTGTTGTTTGAATGCAACTGCAAAGTTTTACATTCTCCCTTGGCAGGTGTTTGTACTCATCAGGCTGGAGAAACCTTCAAAAAACTTTCCAGATTTCTCACATTTTCTTTAGCTGCCAAGACTTTTGTCAACAGGAGTGNGAGTCACACTAGTGACTCTGCTTCCTGGACTGTATTGCACTGAAAAGGAGAGACATAATGTCACAGCTTTTTTTGTTCTGCAGTAATGCAGCACAAAAAAAAAAAAAAAAAAAAAGAATAGCCTCTGTTCTGTGTTTATCTAAGTCTGGTATTTGAGTGTCAGGCTTTCTCCATGTCTCAGTTTTCAAAGAATGCCAAGAGCTGTATTCCTGCATGCTGAAAGGCTGCTGTTGTTTGAATGCAACTGCAAAGTTTTACATTCTCCCTTGGTAGGTGTTTGTACTCATCAGGCTGGAGAAACCTTCAAAAAACTTTCCAGATTTCTCACATTTTCTTTAGCTGCCAAGACTTTTGTCAACAGGAGTGCAGAAACACCTCTCATATAGGTTTCAAATGCCCTGAACTCCACTGCAGTGACTTTGTGTGATACCCAATATGTGGTATCAGATACAAGAAACAAGCAAAACCCAGATCTGCCTTTCAGCACTCTTCCCTTTGAAACCCATGGCAATACCCATGAGTGTTGGCTGATGAGTGATTAAGAATTCTATTAATTTTTAGGTTTAAATTACTTTGTGATGTGTAAAAATGATCTGTAATATCTCTTTTGCAATATTTGTTATTTACTAAGTAGCAAAGTGATAAAGAAGCATTTTCTTGTGTGACTAGGGCACTCTGGAGGATCAGATCATCCAGGCCAACCCACTGCTGGAGGCTTTTGGCAATGCTAAGACTGTGAGGAACGACAACTCCTCACGTTTTGTGAGTTCATTTCAGATTTGTTGGAAAGAATGCATTTAATGCAAGTCTCATTCATTGATTGTCATAACCAATGGTTTGATCTGCACTGCTTGATAGGGGAAATTCATCCGGATTCACTTCGGGCCAACTGGCAAGCTGGCCTCAGCAGACATCGAAACCTGTGAGTTGGAGCAACTCAGTGCAAGCAGAATTTATGCATTTGCAAACTCTAATTTATCAAGACACTAACAGCACCTCTCTTTTGGTTAGATCTCCTGGAGAAATCCAGAGTGACTTTTCAGCTGTCTAGCGAAAGGAGCTATCACATTTTTTATCAGATAATGTCCAACAAGAAGCCGGAGCTCATTGGTGAGTGGCAGCAGTGCTGGGCTTGGCTCAGTGAGTGCTTTCTCTTCCCACTGTGACCTCCCCAGTGCCACTAAAGGTGATCCCCACCCCTGCAGATCTCCTCCTGATCTCCACCAACCCCTATGACTTCCTCTACGTGAGCCAAGGAGAAGTCACGGTTGCCAGCATTGATGACAGCGAGGAGCTGCTGGCAACAGATGTGAGTAGAGCAGAGCAGAGCAGAGCAGTGCAGAGCAGAGCAGAGCAGAGCAGCCCTGCAGCCAGTCCAGCTGCAGCCAGGCAGGCCTGGCCAGCCAGACCCAGCACTGCTGGCCACGGGACTGGGATGGTGCTGGGACAGTGCAGGCAGGGACAGAAACCCCACCTGCCCCTTGTGCTTCAGCCTTTGTGCTTTCCCAACCTGCCTGTTGCCTCTGCAGAATGCTGTGGACATCCTGGGCTTCAGCCCTGATGAGAAGGTGGGGATCTACAAGCTGACAGGGGCTGTCATGCACTATGGGAACATGAAATTCAAGCAGAAGCAGCGGGAGGAGCAGGCAGAGCCTGATGGCACAGAAGGTAGGGCTGATTGCAGAGTTTGCTTGTGAACTGCACCCCCAACACTTTGAAAATTATTTTTCTTTCCAGAAATTAATTTTTATAAAGATTGTTTCAGGTTTCACAAAGTCAATGATTTTATTTATCCTCTACAAGGAAACAGAAAGACATAAGCATTGCTGCAGCCTTTTAGGCATGGACGCAGGATTGTGTTGCTGATGAGACATTGCATTTGGAGCAAGGGGAATATTCTCCATGAGACTGGAGAGGATCTTTTCTTGATAATACCTGCATTTGAGTTGTGCCAAAAGTAACAGAGACATCCCAGAGGACCAGGACACTTTTCATTGTCTCTACTGAACTCGTTTGCTGTTTCTGATCTTAGTGGCTGACAAGGCTGGCTACCTGATGGGTCTGAATTCTGCTGATTTGCTCAAGGCTTTATGCTATCCCAGGGTGAAAGTCGGGAATGAATATGTAACCAAAGGACAAAATGTCCAGCAGGTATATAAACAGCTCATCAGCTTTCCAATTTCTTCAGAGTGTTCTTTCAAATTTAAAAGCTAACTCAACATTTGTTACTGCCATGGTTGTGCTTCTTACAGGTGTACAATTCAGTGGGTGCACTGGCTAAATCAGTCTATGAGAAGATGTTCCTGTGGATGGTTGTTCGCATCAACCAACAGCTGGATACAAAACAGCCCAGACAGCATTTCATTGGCGTCCTGGACATTGCTGGCTTTGAGATCTTTGATGTGAGTTACTGTAGATATTCTTGCCCACTGAGGGCTGCTTGAAACTAACTGGCATTTTTTTGGTATTTTGAATTTTTAGTTCAACAGCCTGGAGCAGTTGTGTATCAACTTCACCAATGAGAAACTGCAACAGTTCTTCAACCACCATATGTTCGTGCTGGAGCAGGAGGAGTACAAGAAGGAGGGAATTGAATGGGAGTTCATTGACTTTGGCATGGACCTGGCTGCCTGCATTGAGCTCATTGAGAAGGTGGGAAAACCTTTTCATTGTAGGAGTGTACATTTCTTTCATGATAATTTCTTTTCGTTCAATCATTCTTGACAAAATGATGCATTACTGTTGAATTACCTTTTCACATCAAAATAGGCAGCTTAGAAAACCAAATATTTTGGAACAACAGCTGTCTCTGCAACTCAGGAAACAATAGTTTCCTGAACAATGTGTCTGGGATGCAAGGGAGAATGCCTACACAATGTTAAATCGATGACTTTAACAACTGCCTTTAAAGAGTGAGGTGAACAGTGAAGAGCAGTAAAGGCTTCCCTCCTCACCCTCACTTCCTTTACGTGTTCATATCTCCCCCAGCCCATGGGCATCTTCTCCATCCTGGAAGAGGAGTGCATGTTCCCCAAGGCAACTGACACCTCTTTCAAGAACAAGCTCTATGACCAGCACCTGGGCAAGTGCAGCAGCTTCCAGAAACCCAAACCTGGCAAAGGCAAGGCTGAGGCTCACTTCTCCCTGGTGCACTACGCTGGCACAGTGGACTACAACATCTCTGGCTGGCTGGACAAGAACAAGGACCCTCTGAATGAAACTGTTGTGGGGCTGTACCAGAAATCATCCTTGAAACTGCTGTCCTTCCTTTTTTCTAACTATGCTGGTGCAGAAACCGGTAAGTGCCTTTTCAGTGATGGCCAATAAGGCAAAAATCAACTAAAGCCTATTTCTGCTTCTCCTCTCAGTGGTTTACTCAAGGCTACCAGCCCCTAGGGTGACCTTGTGTGCCTTCAGATATGCCAAAACTAGGACACCAACATGCAGAACTGTTGGAAACACCACATTTATGTGCTGCAGAGAAGTAAAGCACAGCAAGTCCAACCCCAAGTGACAGGAGTTATATATTTCCTGACTAATTGTGCTGTGAATCACCTGCATGCTTACTCAGCCACTAAACAGGGGCCAGATAAATGTGCAAAGTGCAAGCATTTTAGCCTTTGTAGAGAGGGTTTTGTTTCTTGAGGGGAACTGGAAGAACAGAAAGAAGACTGTGGTACAATTCGATATGAGCAGTCCTGGTGTTGCAATGGAAAAGAGACAGAGAATAAATTTAGAAGTCCTCTATAAGTTTCAATTTAATTGGCTTCACAGTATAGCAACTACGGAAAGACATTGACCTGCTTGGACTTGTATTTCTGAGACTAAAATTTGCTTCCTATTGTAACTCAGACTGGAACTGTATTCTTCTCCTGGAATATCCTGGAATTTTTCTATATAAGACTTCCCTGATAAATGGGTGCTTGGTGCTGAGTCACATTTTTGAGGTCTTTCACCTAATTAAAAAAAAATTTAAATGGGGTTTGAGTAATAATTAAAGCAGTATGTGACAGTAGCACAGAGTACATTGTTAGGAAACTTAGGTCAGGCCACACTGTTCCATACCAGCAAGCTAAATCTTGCATTTGAGATCAAATATCCCACATGCTGATCAGCAACTACCTAGCAGCAGTTCACTAAACTCTCAGGGAGCAGTGTGCCATTATTTAAAATGAAATATTTTTTTTGTCCATGGCCAAAGAAGATGAGGCCTGCAAAATGTACTGCATCTTCTAACTGTTCACCTCCCATCTCCTTCTTCCAAGGTGATAGTGCTGGTGGTGGTGGCAAGAAGGGTGCTAAGAAGAAGGGGGGCTCTTTCCAGACAGTGTCTGCTGTGTTCAGGGTATGTGAATTTCTTTTTGCATGAGCCATGCTTCCATGAAATGATCTGAGGGCAGGAACACCTATTCTAGAAAATCAGCTGAGAGAGTTTGGGCTGCTCAGCCTGGGGAAGAGAAGATTCCAGGCACACCATACTCTGTTTTTTCAATATATAAAAGGGGGATTATCAGAAAGACAGAAAAATACCTTTTACCAGGGCCTGTAGTGACAGGACAAAAGGCATTGATTTTAAACTGGAAGAGGGTAGATTTAAGCTGGATATAAGAAAAAAAAAATCTTTCACTCTGAGGGTGGGGAGTCTCTGGTACAGGGTACCCAGAGAAGCTGTGGCTAACCCATCCCTGGAAGTGTTCATGGCCAGGTTGGATGGGGCTTGGAGCAGCCTGGGGTAGTGGGACAGGGATGCTGGACTTGATAACCTTCAAAGGCCTCTTCCAAACCAAACCATTCTGTGATTCCCTGAACTTCAACAACTCCCTGAATTCAAATAAGAATGCAAAAGCTTTGTATCTTGAAGCTGAAGCCCCTGTTTCGTTCTATCACAGGAAAACCTGAACAAGTTGATGACTAACCTGAGGAGCACCCATCCTCACTTTGTGCGTTGTCTGATTCCCAACGAGACCAAGACACCTGGTAAGTCCATCCCTATACTCTGAAGACATGGCGCTGGCAGGAATTGTCCTGTTATCTTCCACACCAACTTCCCAAATAGCTCCCTCTGCATGTGAAGTCCTTCTGGGGGCTTGGCCTGCAAGACAGTAACAAGGGGAACTTTTTTGTGCTGTCTACTGTGACTGAAAAAATTTGAGCATTACATGGTCCACAACAGTTACTCATCTTTGCTTAATGTGTGTACAGAACTGAGGTTGATAAAGATGGGTTTGATTACAGCTGATAAAATTGCCTGTTGTGGGTAACAGCATTGGGAAATCCTTTGTCTGGATGTCACTGCACTTCACTGTGCCACCTTTGCTTACATCCAGTGAGGAGGCTGATGCTGATGAAGACTTTTCAGTTGGTCTCCTAAAGCACCATCCTGCCATTTTGTGAGAATTGTGGCCTGATGCCTTTTCACAAGCACTGCTAGCCCTTGTGTTCTTAGTAAAACTTAAAACTCGCTGATGAAACTCTCCACAACTTCTATGAATTGAAGGCATGTTCTGTCTGCACTTCCTGCATCTTTAATCAAGAGCTGTTTGAATTGAAAAAAAAAAAAAAAGACAATTCTGAAATGCTAATACACATGAAGATTCCTTGGGATTAAAATTATTAAAATGGAATCATGATGGATGTATTTTGTTTAAGGTGCAATGGACCATTACCTGGTGATGCATCAGCTGCGGTGCAATGGGGTTCTAGAAGGCATCCGAATTTGCAGGAAAGGGTTTCCAAGCAGAATCCTTTATGCAGATTTTAAGCAACGGTAGGTCCTCAGTTATTACTGACCATCTGTTAGGAAAAGGCCTCAGTAAGCACACAGTTCAGGTGACAAGCCTGGTGACACTTTCCCAGTCAGACCAGATTAGTGGTATTGGTGGGAACCAAGGAATTAATACTGTTTGAGGTTACCCCAGCGTTTCCCTCTCTCACCAGACCAGAGATTTCTCCAAACATAAGAATCAGGATAATTTCTAAAATGAAGCCAATGCCTGATGATTCAACAAGACACAGAAAACTTGCAGTGTAATGAGTAAGATGCCATTCTACACTACTCTTTGAAGTCTTCCAGAGTATTGAGACAAAGTCAATCCACACGAGCTTCCTCACAGTGCTCTGGCCTGCATGATGTGCCTTGTTTCCTTCATCTTAAAAATGGAGACAGCTAAACTGGTTCATGGGGGCTCAGTCACCACAGAATGCCAAATCAGAACTGTCTGCTCTTCTAGTTTTATGTAGCATTTTCCATGCTGGACTGGTGTGAAACTTACCCATGATACACAACAGATCCTATTTCCCTCTCTGTCTTTGAAATCACTTCTTGCAACCTGTCTCACCACAGGTACAAGATCCTTAATGCCTCAGCCATTCCAGAAGGCCAATTCATTGACAGCAAAAAGGCTTCAGAAAAGCTCCTCTCCTCCATTGATGTTGACCACAACCAATATAAATTTGGCCACACCAAGGTAAAGTCCTTGTGGAAGAGTAGGTTATAATTAAGCAAAATATTTTGTTTGTTGAAAGTATTCCTTGCATACTAAATCAGCCTTCATGATGATTATAAACAGTCCAACCACTCTGTCCTGGGCAGAGACACCTTCCACTATCCCAGGTTGCTCCAAGCCCCATCCAATCTGGCCTTGGACACTTGCAGAGATGAGCTAAATTTTCCATAAACTACAGTGGAGCAGACATCAATTAACACTGCAACAATATGATTAGATCATACACAGAGTGACTTGTCATGAATCACAGGAACACTGAGGATAGAAAATTTCTCTGGCTCTTAAACCTTTCCTCTGCAGACATTTTTTTTAAACTATCTTGTACTACCCTGCATCGGCTGTCAATGGCCATGTATCCACTTAAGCCTCAAGCTGTTTGACCCTTTTTTATGTTCTAGGTATTCTTCAAGGCAGGTCTCCTGGGACTCCTAGAAGAGATGAGAGATGAGAAGCTTGTGAGCCTCATCACTCATACACAAGCTATGTGCAGAGGGTACCTCATGAGAATGGAATTTAAAAAGATGAATGAAAGAAGGTAAAGTAAGAAAATACCAGCAATTGTACTGTGTCAGACCAAAGGTACATCCATTAAATATATTGTCTCAGGGAAATATATTGTTTCTTGGGAAAGAACCTTAGAAATTACTGGGGAACAGAGCAAGTGCAATCAGCTTCCTCCTGACAGTCTCAGAAACTCTGGCAGCAGCTGTTTAGCATTCAATTCCATTAAAATGTTTCCTTATTTTTTTTCCGTTTCTGTCTTAAAAATTTCTAATATGGTATTTGCTATTTTGAGTGACCCAAAAAGCATCAAGCTACTGTTTCCACAATTGACAGTAACTGCCGGATTTGTAGTCTTAGCAGCAGTACTTCAAAAGTATCAGTTTTCACTCTGTATTTACCTGAGCTCTTGTGTTCTCCTTGCGACTGAGAAAAGCCTCAGGGATTCCCAGTCAATATGCCAGAGAAGTCTGTCTGTTTTGTAATATTTCTTCCTTATATATTCAGACAATATATATTATTCAAGCTACTGGACCAGTCATTTTGCAGTAAGGACTTGAAATGACTCTTTAATAAAAGCAAGGGAGATGAGGGGAAAAAAGTCTCATGCAAAAGTTCTTGGGGTAAATCCTGATGCTGTGTGGAAAATAATCAGAGTATGCTTCCAGCTCGAGTCTCACCACCTTCATTAACTGGTTTCATGTGTTTTCAGAGAATCCATTTATATCATCCAGTACAACGTTCGTGCATTCATGAATGTCAAACACTGGCCATGGATGAAGCTGTACTTCAAGATCAAGCCCTTGCTGAAGAGTGCAGAGTCTGAGAAGGAGATGGCCAACATGAAGGAAGAGTTTGAGAAAACCAAGGAGGAGCTTGCAAAGTCTGAGGCAAAGAGGAAGGAGCTGGAGGAGAAAATGGTGACCCTGTTGCAGGAGAAAAATGACCTGCAGCTCCAAGTTCAGTCTGTGAGTAACCTCCATTTCCAGATTCTCCCCAGTTTCTCTTTCTCTGCTGTTCTTTTTCTCCTCTTTTCCATTGTCCTCTATAAACAGGCATGTCATGGGGACAAAGCCTCCACTGCTATGAGTCTGGTCTTGTCCCTTACACCTAAGCAAGGTGCAAAGCAAGATGCAAAGCATGCACCAAACATTAACACCAGTAAGAATACAGGAAGCTCCAATGCTATCACCAGGGGAAGAATCAGACATTCCACAGTGTATGTAATGTGCTCCTCACAGTGGTGTCTGATTCTGGATGGAATATAGGCTGCTTCCACATCTGCTGCCACTGTAATATGGAGCTTTTCTGTCAGAGGCAGGACTCAAAGTGTGGAAACTGCTTTTCTCTGGAATACTGCTGAACAGAGATTGAAATTGCACCTGTCAGGTTCTAAAAGGTAATAAAATATTACATGGCCAAGAGCAGTTTGGTGCAAGTGGACTTGTCACTTGTTGTCATGTGCTTTCAAATCAGTTTAGTTTCCAAAAAAAGCCTGTATTTTTTCACTCACCAAGGGTCTTAACTGTATTTTGTCATTTTTATGATAAATATAATGTGCCTTCAATGTGTTCTGATAGGAGAGTGAAAATCTAGCTGATGCTGAAGAGAGATGTGAAGGACTCATTAAAAGTAAAATCCAGCTTGAAGCTAAAATTAAAGAACTAAATGAAAGACTGGAGGATGAAGAGGAGACAAATGCTGAACTGACAGCAAAGAAGAGGAAACTTGAAGATGAGTGCTCGGAGCTGAAAAAAGATATTGATGATCTTGAAATGACTCTGGCCAAAGTGGAAAAGGAGAAGCATGCAACAGAGAATAAGGTGACAGAGGAATCAGGGAATTTTTCTTCCCCAGACTGTGCTCCCATACAACTTGTCAGTTTTGTGGGAAAATGGAGCCACTTATTCATGGAATAAGTTCTATGAATAGAATCAGATGTGTCCAATGCATAAGGAGAGAGATATTTTCACTTAATCAATCAGCTGACAGAATTTTTTTCTGTTAAGTTTCTTTGTCATTTTATTATGGTTTGTTTCACTTTTAGGAAAAGCTTAACCTATTTTTGGCTATGCTTAGCATTTGATCATCTCTTTTAAAAGAACATGGCTTGCTGAGAAATTACAGCTGTTTTCACAGCAAATATATGCAGGAAAGACATTCCTTGAGCAAGAGCAACTCGGTGGGATTTTGTTAATCCAAATGGGAAAAACTCTCAGAAGGCAAGGGAAGATCTAGCAGTTTTTACTTTAAAATTTAGTAGGATAGGGGTGGGGATCAAAAACAACTAAAGCAAGACTTCCTATCACTGCAGGATCAGAGAGATGAGACTTTCAGGTATGATATGTGCTGCTGCTCTCATGGCAATCTATAGAAACATTCTGCAGAGAGCATTTTTACTACATCCATGCAAGGTTTTGCAAGGATGCAGTCACTGTGTTCTCAGTCTGCCACTTCCCAAGGCGTCCCCTCATGGGATGGATGCTGCCTGTCTGACAGGTAAAGAACCTCACCGAAGAGATGGCAGCTCTGGATGAAAACATTTCTAAACTCACCAAGGAGAAAAAGGCCCTCCAGGAAGCCCACCAGCAGACACTGGATGATTTGCAAGTTGAGGAAGACAAAGTCAGCACCCTCACCAAAGCCAAGACCAAACTGGAGCAGCAAGTGGATGATGTAAGTAATTTTTGGGTTGTGTATATACACACTGTGACAGATTACAGTAGAATAGAAATCTGTAGTTTGGAGCATAAGCAACACCTAAAGAAGACAAGCCAGCTCTAATAATTTCAGCCAATAAAACACTGCTAATTTACAGAAAATTGTGGAATCCAACACATCTTTCATGTTCATCACAGGGTATTTCAGCACTGTAGACTTTGTGATCTGATTTATACCATTAGCTGAAGCAGGAGACCTGTGACAGTTTGAAGGTTGCTTCAGAGTTATTTGTGTGCACATATACTCCAGGAAGTTATAAATACTGGGAATTTGTGTATATTTAGCAGCCTATATGCTAGGAACTGCAATTACTGGAAAATTTTAATTTATATTTTTCCAAAAACTGGTGTTTCAATATTTCATATTTCATGTGTGCACAGTCAAGATGTCAATGCCTCTCTCATGGTGAGAGTGCAGCACACATGGAGATGCCCTGATTATTTTCTCTATTCATCAATTTCCAACTTAGTTAGATTTTAAAATTAAGAATAGTTACTTTCAAAGTATAATTTATGTATTTCAAAGTATGTTTTATGTGTTTTAGCTTGAAGCATCTCTGGAACAAGAGAAGAAGCTGAGAATGGACCTTGAGAGAGCAAAGAGGAAACTGGAGGGTGATCTGAAAATGTCTCAGGATTCCATCATGGATCTGGAAAACGATAAGCAACAAATGGATGAAAGGCTAAAAAAGTATTACACTGACTTATTATGCTCTGAATTTTGAAATTCATGTTTTATCTTAACCTAATTGAATTTGCCTTCTTTTTCTTTAATAGAAAGGATTTTGAAATTAGCCAGTTGCAAAGTAAAATTGAAGATGAGCAGGCTCAAAGCTCTCAGCTGCAAAAGAAAATCAAGGAGATTCAGGTAAAGTCTAGGAGTTATTAATAATTTCAGTGGCAAGCACAAATTTCTTAGAATTAGTTCGTATTTATTTTTAGACCATTCTACAAAAATATTTTCCGTCACATGAATAAAACCATTAATATGGGAGTATGGTCCTGTTCCCATCTCAGGGCACATTTACAGAAATTCTGGCCTCGAATCTTACATGACTACACAGGAAATTTCTTACATGAACATTGTGGCAGGCTTTGAAAATGCCACAGATGTGCAGCCACTGGGAGTTGCTTTTCTAAGAAAACAGTAGAATGTGACTCAATACGTCATGATCAGGACAATGATCACCTTCCAAGTGCAGAACCAGGAAGACAGTTCTCTTCAATGCTCTTATCCCATGATTGTTTATCTTGAAGGTCCTTCCATCCTGTTTGCTGATGGAGAGAGGACACTGCTTTGTTCTGGCCTGATTTCTAGGAAATTTCTAGGAAATTTCTAAGTAATTCACATTCGTTTACATTTTCCAGTGACACCTCTTCTATTTCTTCAGGGAAATGCAATTCTAAATCCTTCACAAAATAACAAATTCATTCTGAGCTGTAAAATATTAGATTTTACATTCAACGTTGTTCCAAAACTGAGTATTATTTGTCCTAGGACACAATACAGGAAATTTCTAGTGGTACTTCTTTTTCTATGCTTGTGTTAATGGATGTGAATGTTTCCTCTTTATTCCTCAGTGATAATTTTAAATCTATCCATCCAAAAGTCCTCTTTTAACCAATTAACTCTCATAGGCTCGGATAGAGGAACTGGAGGAGGAAATTGAGGCCGAACGTGCAATCCGTGCCAAGTCTGAGAAGCAGAGAGTCGACCTGTCCAGGGAGCTGGAGGAGATCAGCGAGCGCCTGGAAGAAGCTGGAGGGGCCACAGCAGCTCAGGTGGAGATGAACAAGAAGCGAGAGGCAGAATTCCAGAAGATGCGCCGTGACCTGGAAGAGGCCACGCTGCAGCACGAAGCCACGGCTTCTGCCCTGCGCAAGAAGCACGCGGATAGCACAGCTGAGCTGGGCGAGCAGATCGACAACCTGCAACGCGTGAAGCAGAAGCTGGAGAAGGAGAAGAGTGAGCTGAAGATGGAGATTGACGACTTGGCCAGCAACATGGAGTCCGTCTCCAAAGCCAAGGTTGCTGCACAGGAAGATTTGTCTTTGTTAGCGTTGTTCTGAACTGCTGGATGAACTGAGGGATTTGTTTTTTACCTCTTCACAGAGCAATCTGGAGAAGATGTGCCGAGCTCTTGAAGACCAGTTCAGTGAAGTCAGAGCCAAAGATGATGAACATGTGCGGCTCATTAATGATCTGAACACACAGAAAACACGCCTACAGACTGAGAATGGTACGCCCCCTGATGAAATGTAATATTCCAGTATTGTGTACTTAAATATGCTGCCTGAATGCCCGTGTGTTTTGTAACATATTCATCACTTGGTGATCTGAACAAAACCAGATTCTACAGAAATCTGACCAAAACCAGATTCTACAGAAATGTTTTTTCTACAAAAACATTCTACAGAATGTAGAATCTCTTTCTGGTGGCAGTCATAGAAACCTACCCAAGGAAACACAAAACCAAACCAGGAGTACTGTCAGTCAAAATGAAAATGTGAGTTTGTGGTCACTTCATCTTCTATTCTTTGAGGACTGCACAACTTTTCCTATCAGTGAGAATGCAATTACTACTCTCCCTTCAAATTACCACTTTATATCTTGCAATGACTTTCCACATAGCTAGCTGCTCTCATTCATTTGTTTCATGTCTTGTATCTCTGTCTAAAAAAAATAAATTCTTTCTCATTAGGTGAACTTACTCGACAACTGGAGGAGAAGGAGGCCTTGATTTCTCAATTAACTCGAGGCAAACATACTTTCACTCAGCAGACTGAAGAGCTGAAGAGACAACTAGAGGAAGAAAATAAGGTGACTTCCTTTCATATGGAACAGCAAATTTTAAAATAAATCAACGTGCTAAAAATCCAAATGAGATTTCTCCCCAAAAAAGGGATATCAGAGTAGTGAAAATTTTGAACTTTGCCTTGAAATACAACACAGGGAGGAGACATTAAAAATTAAATGAGCAAGACAGTTTTGCCTTTCTCCTCATGCATTCTGAAGATCGAAAACATGGGTGAAGTGAAGGAAAGCAGCTCTGTGCCTATAGACAAAGCAAACAGCAGCAGCCAAACAAAGGAAACCGAGCAGGAATGCTTGCACTTTGTTTTCTGGTGGATTTATTTTGCCTCTGCCTGAAACACCTGGTGCAGATGTGTTTGAGAGCTGTTATCCCAGATAAGATGGGCAAGCACCTGACCCTGTTTAACAACATCAAGCCTGAATCACAAAATCCCTAATGTTATTAATTTTCCTCCTTCTGTTTCTCTAGCAACTATAGCACATTGACAGGGAGATACGAATATTTTATCAGACCAGAGGAAAAATATCCAGTCTCAAATTATTCGTGTTCTGACAACTTGTTCAATTTTAACTACCAAGGCCAAGAACGCCCTGGCCCACGCCCTGCAGTCCGCTCGCCACGACTGTGACTTGCTCCGGGAACAATATGAGGAGGAGCAGGAGGCCAAGGGGGAGCTGCAGCGAGCCCTGTCCAAGGCCAACAGCGAAGTGGCCCAGTGGAGAACCAAATACGAGACGGACGCGATTCAGCGCACGGAGGAGCTCGAGGAGGCCAAGTATGTGGAGGGAAGGCTTGGAGCAAGTAGAAGGATGTTTAAGCATGACAAGTGCAGAGCTGAAGGAAACCAGAATGTGTTTGTAGGGGTAATATGCAGAGCGGTGTGCTTTTTAATGTATTAGAAGTGAAAAAGGGGAGTGAGTGGATATTTAAAGGAGAGGTGGAGTGGAGGCTCGGGGGTGTCTACATAAAGGAGAATTCCAATGCATTGAGTTAATCATAGTAGCTGAAAGAGCACATTCTTTACACTGTCAGTATCGAAAGCACATTTTTGGTCCCTCTCCACATTGGTACAGTTCACCCTTGGGTGCATGTTCTCCCAGTCTATGCACCACTTCAGAGTGCTGTGCCACCCCAGGCTCCTGGCACCACAGCATTATATATTGTTCTCTCTGCCCATCTTCCCCATTCCAAACTCCTTGCATGCCCATTTTCTGAGAAGGTCAGAATTTTATTTTTCTCAGTGCTGAATGTCCCATCCTGCAGGAAGAAGCTGGCCCAGCGCCTGCAGGAGTCAGAGGAGCAGATTGAGGCTGTCAATGCAAAGTGTGCTTCACTGGAGAAGACAAAGCAGAAGCTGCAGGGGGAAGTGGATGATCTCATGATTGACATGGAGAGGTCACATGCAGTCTGTGCAGCATTTGATAAAAAGCAGAGGAATTTTGATAAGGTTTGTTCAAAAGATCATGCCAGATCTAAACATCATCAGATATTTGATAGGGCAGGACAAATTCTGAAATCATCGAAGTTCTGCACTCACAGTAAAATAAACTGCATCTTACCCAAAGCAAAATTATGGTGAAGACCTCATGGTGGGACATATGGTAAAGTCATTGTGTAAGTAACCCCAGGTGACTGCAGCAAATAATAAATCAGCCTGCTGATCATTTTAAAAAACATGAAGTCTTCACAGGGGAGACTGTTCAAGCAGACTGAGTACTCACATGCAAGCTAAGAAGCCCTGGTGCTACTCTACCAGCCTAACCTTGGGGTTAGACAGAGCCTCAGATTCATGGAAAGTTCCAAGTTCACTGCCTTTACTAACATTTAAAAGAATTTGCACTTTTGGACCAAGTGATGCTGCACAGCCCTGTGTCTTGGCATACCCCTGTGTGAGTGAAAACACTGTGCTAAAAAAGGATCTTACAGGACTGTGGGATCAAAGTGAGGAGAGAATTGGTAGAGAATGACCTTTTTTGGTGGGCTTAGTGCAGGACCACTGTCTCCTGCAACATTATCAAGTCTCATACATCCTTTTTCAGACCAGCTACATTATGTTTGGGTTGGTGTCAAACCAAACTCCTTCCTGACAGCTTGGGGCATGCACTAGTGTTGGTTGAAGAGGCAAATTGAAGTAGATCTCACCAAAACAGCCAGAGTATGCATCACAGGGAGTTATTGTCACAGGCAGAGAACAGTCCAAAGCAAAGGACAGTTAAGTTAGGCCAGGCCTCTTGGGTTCTTGTCACATAAAGTTGCAGAGATGGAGTGTGTCAGAGTGGGTCATTCTTCTCCTGTCACTCCAGATCGTGGCTGAATGGAAGCAGAAGTACCAGGAGAGCCAGACTGAGCTGGAGGCTGCCCAGAAGGAATCTCGCTCTCTCAGCACCGAGATCTTCCGGATGAAGAATGCCTACGAGGAAATGCTCGACCAGGCTGAGACCGTCAGGCGGGAGAACAAGAACCTCCAGCGTAAGTTCACGTGTCTGTCACCTTGGATTCACTGTGAGCCCACGGATGCATCCACATTTCTGGACTCCCAGAGCTCTGCCTCTTCCCAGGGTTTTGTTCTTTATGATTTTCCCACAAAGGTGGTGACTTTCTTTCCTGTTCAGCTCAGCATGAAGTCACCTGGCAAGCACACACTTTCATCTCTACAGCATCCTGCTTCCTCAGGATGTTCCCCTATTTCAAACTATCATAATCCTATGCATGGACAAGGACCAAGTTAACTGAATAGACAGAAATTATGATGATGCTCAGGTTTTATTCAGATTGCTTCAGTCACTGCTACTAGAAAAAATCTGGTGGGCTGTTGTCTGTTTCCTGATTATTGGAGGATCATGTAGCTGTGGCACAATGGATTGGTATTTAATAAGCAAACTAACTATAGAAAGGAAATACAACTCAGATCATTTTTGTGAACTGAATGATCACTGGGAATTATCCAGGCATAAAGAGATCAATCAAACGTGACTGTCTCTGGAGATGTAATTTCACTACCCAGAAGATGCTGACATTATTTTCTGAGCTTACTCCAGTTGGTCCCTCTCATTTTCAAATTGCACACTGAGCTGGGATGTGCAGGTTATCAGAAATAAAGATTGCACACAAGACAAAATGTATTATTTCTTCTCACTGTTACATCCCATTACACCCAGAGGCTCTTTTGTCACTCCCATTACCAAAGAGCAATTGCAGGTGCCACTGATCACACTGTCTGAGAGGCACTGAGTATGTGTTTTCTGGTTGCAGAGGAAATTTCTGATCTGACTGAACAGATTGCTGAGTCTGGAAAAGCAAATCACGGGCTGGAGAAAGCAAGGAAGCAAATTGAGCAAGAAAAGTGTGACCTACAAGCAGCATTAGAAGAAGCAGAGGCAAGTGTCCTCAGTCAGGGGCTTGCTTTTGGCATAATCAAGAACAGAGAACATTTGGTTATATCTTTTATATTCCTGCTGTCCCGTAAGACAGCACAGAGAGACCAAAAAGCACAAGGACTGCTCCCCTGCCATACCCATGTGACATTCCTTGCTGTGCTATCATGTACAAAACCCCCTCAGATCCAGTCTAAAATTGAGCTCATTTTGCATCATCTCTTTGAATTTGCTTCCACAGAAGGCTGAAGAAAAGTCACTGACATTTCAAAACTCTGACAGTAGCTCTCCTTTTTTTTATATTTTCTCATGATCTGTTGCCTCTCCAGTGTCACCACAGCCTTCAGTGCCCAGACCTTGTGGTATCTGAGGCATTTTCCTAAGGAATATTACTCCTAAATTACCATTTAATATCCAGCTGGGGCACAGTGAGTATGGAATAGCAGTCAGCTTTTTCAGTGCTTGGTTTGAAGGTCCACAGTAAGGCAAATCCACCTGTCCTCCCTGTTCAGCTGCAAAGGGTCACATTTCTGCACGGGCATTTCCCAGCAATGGACACTACAGACACAAATTGTAATATTTCAACCCTCACAGGGCTCTTTAGAGCATGAAGAGGGGAAAATCTTACGGGTTCAGCTGGAGCTGAACCAGGTGAAGTCAGATGTTGACAGAAGGACTGCAGAGAAAGATGAGGAAATTCAACAGCTGAAGAGGAACCACCAGAGGGTATTAGAGTCTATGCAAACCATGCTGGATGCCGAGGTCAGAAGCAGAAATGATGCTTTGAGGCTGAAAAAGAAGATGGAAGGAGACCTGAACGACATGGAAATCCAGCTGAGCCATGCCAACTGTCAGGTAGCAGAGACACAGAAGCACCTAAAAGCTGTGCAAGGGCAGCTCAAGGTAGGGACCACAAGGCTGCTGTCCCCTGAGCCTTTGCCATTCCCTCTGCTTGCTTCTGGGCCTCACAAAAGGTGCTTTCCCCTTTTAAGGATTCCCAGCTCCATTTGGATGATGCCTTGAGAGAGAACGATGACCTGAAAGAGCAGCTGGCTATAGTAGAGCGCAGGAACGGTCTGATGACAACGGAGATGGAGGAGATGAGAGCTGCCATGGAGCAGACGGAGCGAGCCCGCAGGGTGTCTGAGCAGGAGCTGACAGACGCCAGTGAGAGAGTGCAGCTGCTCCACTCGCAGGTATTTGCCATCTCCTGGCACTACAGGAGGTCACCACAGGCCTGTGGGAATGGCAGAAATGGGGTGGGAGTGGCACAAACTCACCTGCTGTGTGAGGACAGTGAGAGCTGGGGCTGGGTGGGGAGCTGGAGGAGGAGGACGAGGGGCTGGATCGGCTGGGGCAGGGACCAGCAGGTGCCTGGCAGGGCTGAGCACCCCCACGCTGGGCTCCCTGCTTGGGGAGGCACCAGAAATGCAGCCCCTGTATGAGCCACGCTCACATGGCTCTCTGCTTCTGATTCCTCAAGCGTGGAATTCACAGGGACTAGGATTAATTCAATACTCTAGAATTCTTAATTTTTAGGCAGCAGCTCATTTACACTAATTAGTACAAATTATTGATACTAATTAGTACAAATTAGGGGTGGGAATGACCTGTCTGCTGACTGCCCCAACAGAACACGAGCCTCCTCAACACCAAGAAGAGACTGGAAGTGGACATAACTCATTTACAGACTGAAGTTGAAGACAGCATTCAGGAAGCCAGGAATGCAGAGGAGAAGGCAAAGAAAGCAATCACAGATGTGAGTCCTCTTGCTCTTCCATTTTGTACTACCACAGACACTTTCACACTTTAGAAAGGCGGGAGTCAGATGGAGGAGAACCAATTCTTTGACAGAAAATATCTGTGACACACAGTCCCTGCTACAAGAGCCTCGTGCAGCCAGTGCCCTACCAGGTGTCACAGAAGAACCCTCATGTCCTGCTGGCTGTCTGGATTGAAGAGGCATTCCCTCTCTCTCCCCTTCTCCATACCCATTCCCTTTTGCTTCCAGAGTAAATGTAGTAGGCAGGATAGAACAGATGGTGGCAAAATTGTAATAGAAAAAGAGTAGTTTGAAACAAAGGCCTGTCTAGACACAGCACAGATAAGCAGAAATTAAGGCTAAAATCATACACAATTCTGTACAAATGCTAGACATGTAAGAAAGAAAAAGAGAGAATACAAATGTTTCATTTAAATGAAGCTAAGGGTCCCACATTATCAGAAATAACAACACCTGAACCATCTAAGAAAGGTATAAGAAAATTAAACAGAGAATGGTGACATTATTGCATCAAGTCCTGGTGCACCAGTGTTTGGTCCTGACTGCCCACCAGCAGCAGTGCTCCAGGATCCCTGACCTCTCTGCTCTGCCATGTTGGTGGCTGCTGTCAATCCCAGCTTCTGAGCACCTCAGCAGCCATCAGCTTTTCAGGGCAGTTTGGGGTCCCCGGGCTCGTCTCACTGGCAAAAACTGCTCAGAAGTCTGACTCTTTGGCAAATTTCAGCACCAAACAGCCAGATACTCAAAGTCATGAGGAAGCCCAGAGGTGCAGAGTGCTAGCTGCTGGTACTTCACTGTTGACTGACTTAAAACAGAACTTTGGTACCAATCTGTTTGCACACCTTGATTATTTTTTTCTTTCTATCAACCCTGTCTGTTCTCTGGGGTGAAGCAGTTTTACAAACACAGACTTTGAGAAAGAGTGATCCTGTTTGTATGACAGAGCCTTAGCACAGCCATGGGCACTGAGAATGTGCAGAGTCACTCACCAAGGTGAAGCTGGGGTTTTTCTGAGGTACCCAGAATTGCTGGGATGGGGATATTTGTAACACAACTGTGACCACAACCAGGCAGCCATGATGGCAGAAGAGCTGAAGAAGGAGCAGGACACCAGTGCCCACCTGGAGAGGATGAAGAAGAACCTGGAACAGACGGTGAAGGACCTGCAGCACCGTCTGGATGAGGCTGAGCAGTTGGCACTGAAGGGAGGGAAGAAGCAGCTCCAGAAGCTGGAGGCCAGGGTATGGTGAAGACTTGGGTAGATTAAGGTGAAGTTTCTGACTGGGCCCTTGGTTGCTGGAGCCTTTTGGAAGGGTGAAAACAGGGAGAGCCCCAGGTATTCCCAGCAGGTTTGATGAGAGCTGTGCTGAGTAGCCAGATATTGCACTGTGGGTGGTGAACCTGAGAGTGACCTCAAAAAAACTGAGTGGGCAAAAATGGGGGCAGATGGACATCAATGAGACATAGATGGTAATTTTGGCTCGGGAAAAATAATTTAAGTTGTATTTACTTGGGGATGAATTTGGAACTGGTAATGGACAGACTTCAGAAGCTGTTGAATGTGCAATAGAAATGAAAACCTAAAACAGAAAAAAATGTGGGCTTCATCAGGAAAGGCACTGAGAACAAGACAGAGCTGTATGGCAACACATTCTTGCCACTATATTAAGTATATCATGTGCAGTTCTAGTCTCTGCAACTCAAGAAGGATCTGCAAGATAAAGCTTTATGAATATTGACAAACAAGGCTAGGACTCTGCCATTGAGCAAGACCAGTCCATCTTCACCTTTAAAATAAATAAAAATAAATACTTTACAGAGTGGGCATTGAAATTCAGAAAACTGACACCATGGAAGGCTGTAGAGGCAGCTGATAAAAGGTTCAAAAAGGGAGTAGAAATCAGCAGGCTTACAGAGAGGCACAGGCATAGATATGCCACCTTACATCTCGATTTCAATGCCTGTGGAAGATGGACAAGTGGAAAGGGAAGACAGCAGCCAGGTTTCCATGCTGTCCCTAAACAATATTTGCCACTGCCACTCCCAAAGATAACAAACGAGAAACAAAAAAATGAAACAGATTTTTCCCATTTACCTGGTGAACATTCATAGAACCCACCCTTCCCTGCTTCAATTTTCTCTTCTCTGACAAATTTAAACCTAATTTTGACTACAAATTCTCTAGGTATGCACAGCTAAGTTCCTTTTATAAACAACTATGGATTCACACACTATGTCATCACCAACATAACATGGGGAGCATATTTTAGCTAGGCTAGACCCAAGAAGCAGCTGCAGGACACTGCCTTGCAGCCTTTCTTGCCATCTTCACCATGATTCTGTGTTTCAGATTAACGAATTAGAAAATGAGCTTCATTCTGAGCAGAAACGAGGAGTAGAATCCCTGAAAGGAGCTCGCAAGTACGAACGGAGGCTGAAGGAGCTCGCTTACCAGGTATTGCAAATCCTCTGTCCTCCTACGTGGGTCACCTCAGTTCATCTGCCAAGGCTGACTCCATTTTCACTTCCTACAGTCTGAAGAAGACAAGAAAAATATTCTTCGGCTCCAGGACCTGGTGGACAAGCTGCAGTTAAAAGTGAAAGCGTACAAGAAACAGGCTGAGGAAGCTGTGAGTGGAGGACTCTTTTCAGTGGGGCCTGGGTGGAGATTTCTGAAAGGCAGACTCTCTAGAGCATTAAAATAATTGAGTACTGAGTCTGGCAAGGCAGCTAAAGCCACACTACCTTTGAATATTCTTAATTATGGCTCACAACAGAGTGGGCATAGCTGTAGTTATCCTGGAACTGGTGTGGCACTTGGTGTGGCACTTTTGGAGCCACACAAGCCAATTTTCCCACCTGGAGCTGAGTGGGGTCGTTGTTCTGCCCCCATAGTGGCCGTGCTGGATATAAACACGGAGCACTGGCGATGCAGGGCTGTGCCTGTGAGGCCAGCAGAGGTGTCCCTGGTGCAGACAAATGGCAGTGCCATTTGTGCCACTGCTGTGTGATTTTCAGGAGGAGCAGGCCAACATGAATCTCTCGCGGTGCCGCAAGGCGCAGCACGAGCTGGAGGAGGCGAAGGAGCGAGCTGATATCGCCGAAGGGCAGGTGAACAAGCTGCGAGCCAAAAGCCGCGACATGGAAGGCCAGGTGAGTTTGGAGGCTGCAGAGAGGGACGCTCCTGTGCAGGTGGTGTCACAAAGGTCACTGCCCAAAGGGCCACACTGCATTCCTACCACTCTGTCACTGGAGTGGCCTCGCAAAGAAATTGTCACTTACTCAAAAGCAGTGCATTTTGCCAGGGCTTTTGGAATCAGACCAAATACAATCAACTCTAAGAATCCAGGTCTTTCAGCACAATTGGGAGATATTACTTCATTATAAAATGGCAGAACACTTGCAACAGCCACAGACTTGAAACAAGACCACAAATAACTCAGTTCCTCCAATACCCTCTACATTACCTTCCTTTTTCTGTACTTAGAAATCAGAGAAATGAGGTTCCTGTCCTGAGCTGCAGCAGCCTCCCTCCTGATAAAGACTTCTGTGCATCCAGCAGATATCCATTACTTTCTTCAAGTAACCCAGTGTGCTTGTGTGTAACTGATATATTTAGCCAACCCTTAAGTAAAGCTGTGAGAAATCTGATATATATATATTTACTTATCTATATATATATATTTACTTATATATATATATATATATATATAAAATAAACCTGGATGATGCTTCAGTGACTATACAGACTGTTGATTCACTATGAGATAGACAAATGTCTGTCTGTGTATCTGTGTGTGTCCGGTTGTCCCTGTGTCTGTCTGTCTGTGTCTCAGCATCCGTGCCCGTATCTCAGTCTGTCTGTCCACGTCTGTGTGTCCGTGCTGGTCTCACAGTCTATCTGTCTGTGTCTGTCTCAGTCTCTCAGTCTGTCTGTGTGTGTGTCCTGCTGTCCATGTGTCCGTGTCCATGTGTCGGTGTCCCGCTGTCCATCTGTCTGTGTGTCCGTGTCTGTGTGTCCCTCTGACCATGTCCATGTGTCCGTGTCCGTGTGATGTGTCCATGTGTCCCTCTGATGTGTATCCCTGTGTCCATATGTCCATGTGTCCGTGTGTGCCCGTGTGTCCGTCTGTCTGTGTGTCCGTGTGTCCCTGTGTCCGTGTGTCCCTATGTCCGTGTGTGTCCGTGTGTCCATGTCCGTGTGCCCGTGTGTCCGTCTGTCTGTGTCCCCGTGTCCGTGTGTCCCTATGTCCGTGTGTCCATGTCCGTGTGTGTCCGTGTGTCCATGTCCGTGTGCCCGTGTGTCCGTCTGTCTGTGTGTCCCCGTGTCCGTGTGTCCCTATGTCCGTGTGTCCATGTCCGTGTGTGTCCGTGTCCGTGTGTCCGTGTGTCCGTGTGTCCATGTCCGTGTGTGTCCGTGTGTCCGTGTGTCCGTGTGTCCGTGTGTCCGTGTCTCGCCGTGCGCTCCGTGCCCGCGGGCTGGCGGGAGCGCTGCCAGGCGCAACTGCGCCAGTGCGGCGCGAGGGGGCGCTGTGGAACCTGC